GCTTAAGTGAGAAGCACATCTATTTAGGCAAAGGAAAGATGGAATATAAAGTATATCCCTTTTTTTCCTTATAGGGAAGCAGCAGGACTTAGGCACGATCTGGTTTGAGTGCGTTAAGTTCAGTGAGGTAAATGAGTTTAAGCTAATTCTTAGATCATGCCCTTGAGTATCACAAGGTGACTGCTGACGTTCTTTAGTAAATGAGAAGAAGATAGAGAGAAAATGATTTGGGAAATTATCGTGAAAATAAGTTTCGACTATTTTAGGGTTTAACGTAGCAGCAAGATATGGCAAGGAGATACCAGGAGATCAGACAGGTCCTGCCTCTTCAATGAAAGTAGATTGGATTCTGAGGCAGAGTTGTGAAGTTTTAGTATAAAGGTAATAGTTAAAGACTTGTTTTAAATGACAGCACTGAAAAAGAGGAGAGGGGAGAAAAAAGGAAAAGGGAGAGGATGAAACTTTGTGGAACTAGTACTGAAAGGTAGACTGGGCAAAGATGCATCTGGAGTAGCAGTACTAGAATGAGAGAGGAAAGCACTGCAGTAAGATCAGAAGATGACAGGGTCTTGGGAGTAGATGCATTAAAAGCAGACATTGGGTCAAAGAGGATGAGGATATTTGGTTTAGTTAATAAAATCCTTGCTTTTGATGTCTTGGTGAAGCGTGCAATATATTATTATAAACTTGTAAGCGACAGGTAGAATGGCAGAATTCACAAATTGTATGCCTGCAGCCATATGCTCACTTTTAAATTATGCAGCCTTTGAAAAATTGCTCTGTCCTCTTGCTCCCAAGGATCTGCAAGGGTGTTTTTTGATTTGTTTCCTATTTGAAGATCTTCGTAATGACACGTTTAGCCAGAAGGTGCTACAGCCCATAATTTTCTGCAAAGCTATTGCATTGCACCAGATCCCTCAAGTTCTTCTGCATAGTTTAGAAAACATTCATCTGGTTGTATGTAGAATTCCTATATCTCACAAAACTAAGAGTGTATGATAAAATAACCTCAAGTAATGCATAAACAAGTTAAGAATTATCTGTAGAAGTGTTTCTGAATATAGACAGTAACCCGTACTTGACAAAGTGAATACATAAATTCAAACTGACTTTAATCCAAGCCGTAATTGTTAATGTTTTCACTATCTACAGTCTGTTCTTCCTGAGAAATTTCAGTGTGTTCTATCCAAGCCTATTCCAGAACCTCCAGAAAGTTTTCAGGCATCTATTGTCAAACTGTGTAAGAGCAAAAAATATATAGAAAACTGTTTGTTAGAAGTCATAGGACTATTTTGATCCTGATTCCTCTGTGCTTGTTAACTTCACCTAAAGCGTCTCTCAGTTCTGGGTTGTTCTCTGGCTGATGCAGTGACAAGTTTCCACCTTTATTAATGTATGTGAAATATTGGTGTGTGTGCACATAAATATTTGAGAATTTTCCCCATTTCCATGTTGTTACCAAGTAAAATATTATTATAAAGATATGTGATAAGGAATGTCAGTTACCTCTTAGTGAAATTGGGGGTTCGACCCCGCCCCCAAAAAGTCACTGCACACAGCTGAAAAGGTGGGATTCCAAATCACAGAGGTATTCACAGGGGATCGCTCCCAACTACGATGGCGTTCCTCTTCATGAACTCCTTTAGCAGGCAGCAGAGAAAAAAGGTTGTTGAAGATAACTTACTTGCTCTCAGTTGCCCTGGGGTGGATCAGTGGTTCTGGGAACTGCTGTCTTTTGTTTCTTTAAAAGTCTGGGCTATCTGGCAGGCACTATGTATAACCTTGTATAAGACAGATGGAATAATGTCTTAATATATACCCATTACCACAGACATCACCAGGAGCATGTTTCGTGCCCCAGTGCAGCAGGATAATCCCTTCCCTTCCCTCTTTGTTCTCCTCCATCTGCTCTGCAAGCCTGTAACTATTGTCCTGCCAGGGTAATATCTAGCTTCTCCTCCCAGCCTTGGACCACATTTGTGTTTTTTCAGCATCCTCTTTCTCCTGAATATTGCCATAGGCTTTGCTAGGACAAGAGAGAAGACTTGGCTGGAGGCAGCGAGGACCAAGAATGTGGAGCTCTCTACCAAGCAAAAAACTCCTGTTAGGGTCTGGGGAGAGGTAATTACCCTTGTGTCCTGTCAGGTGGATCTGCCTGAGATGCCTGTCCAGATCAAGCAAGGATGAGGCAAGACAGGCTTACTCTTCTTCCAAAATCTGCCAGCATGTTCAGATCCCAGTCTAGCCTTGGAAGGGACAAGGCTTGGGATGAAGGGTTTGCTTCCCCGCCCCCGGTTCCCCTCGCAGGATGCCGTGTCTGAAAACCATTGCTCCAGAGGAGTTGCTCTCTTCCCGTTGACTTTAGAGGAAGATAGCTTTCACTGGACTAAATTTAGCCTTTGCGAATAGCTCACTAAGTGGTGTTTTGTTTTGTTTTTCCCCCACGCTTCCTTGACTTGCTGCAACAGTTTCTAGGGATTCTGATGTCATACGCAGTATTTAGTGTATATGCTCAGCTACCTCTATAAATAGTATTTATAATTTTAATTACCTTTATTTATATAATGAGGGATCATGGGACAGTAACATATCTGATATCAAATCAAGTATTAGTGAAGATATTTGTGGCACAAATTTCTGAAGTGAGATAATTTTAAAACTTGCCATGGTACCTGGCTATGTTTGTTTGGCTGTAGACTGAACCTTGAAATCATTCCAGACATACATTTGTTAGCTATTTTGAAGGAGTCTTGCATCAACACCTGTAAAAAGACAAAGAAAAACTGCAGACTTTGTGCTGGAATCCCAAACACTGCCGTTTAAGATGCTGTGGCATTATTCAAGTTTTTTTTCAGTATACTAGCTGTCTTTACCAGTATGTGGAATGCCTGGCTTAGCGCTAAAACAGTTTTTTGATTTATTATTAATGTTGAAGTCTACTGTGTTCTGTTTTATTTTCATTTTCTAGAGCATTACTTTGCTTTGCTGTTTGTTTATCACAGCTGGAGGGGGGCAGGAAGGGGGAAATCCGTCCACTGTGCTGAGCATGCCACAGAGAGTTTGTTCTCCTTCCAGGGATTGTACTGGGAGCTCTGTAGTGCCAGGATATAGGACAGAGTGTGTTTTGTTGTTCACAAAGAAGAATGCTCTATTGATTGATAGAGTCCAGTAAGGCTGTTCTTCTTGCAGTTTTGTCATGTGCAACAAAAGCAGGAAGAATGTGAATTTTCTGTGTAGAAAAGATGTTTTCTAAGGTGAAAACTGAGAACAATAGGATATTAGAATGCTTCAAAGACTAGGAATGACTCTAATTCATGGTTCTGATTAGACCCTTATTCGAAATGGAGAGATTTGTTATGAAAAGTTCGTGAAATGGTTGAAAGAACAAGTAATAGGTTAGTTGCAAAGATTTCATCCTTGTGTCTTGTGCTCTTTGCAAATCAGGACAGTATTTCAGGGTAAAACAATAGCAAAACTATGTAAAGTAGCGTCTGCTGCTGTGTCAGGCCAGCTGCCTGACAAATAAATTAACAGAAAGCACCATTTCCGGAGTTAACAAACTGGTAACTATAGATTCCAAACAATGATTGCCATTTGATTCCCACCCCCCTATCTTGGTCGAGGGGTTAATAAATTGTCACCTAACTGATGTGTAGACTCTATGGGCTTTTTACCTTTTTTCCTCCCTGTGGCACCCTCCCGCCTAAAACTCAGATAAACTATATTTTATTTTATTTTGATGGTAGTGAGGGGATGCCTGACTTTACAGCCCGTATTAGGGGGAGGGCGTGTTAATGTTTAGGGCACAGTGTGAGAGAAAATGCAAAAAAGGCTATGAAAGAAAGGAGTAAGTGGAGTATCTAGGTTTACTGTTATCAGACTTGGAGGTTCAGAAAAGGATCCAAAGATACAAAAGCATATAAGGCCAGAATTATTTGGGCCCTTGAACACAAATATGACATGAGGAAATGTGAGGACGAAATGAGAGTTAGTGGAAGTACTGTGGGTGGAGGTTGATGTGGTTGGATGGGAGAAAAATAATCTTAGCAGCCAGAATTTTTATTGAAACAGGTTGTTGTACTGAATAGGAAGCTGCATCAGGAGAGGAGAGTGTGATGTTCTGGATGAAAGATGAAGTACTGTAAACAAGGAAAAAAATATTCAGATGAATGTAATGGAGTAAGGAGAACATGCTTTTCAAGTTGAAGAGAAAGTTTAAAAAAAAGTTTAAACTGCTGTCTCAGTTGAGTGACAGCAAGAACAATATTGGTACATTGACCAGTGAGAGAAGGATGAGGATTAGTCATGTTAATATTTGTAACTTTTGCTAAAATGCAGAAGCTGTTAAAATAGGGACTAGTAAGCTTTTTTGGAGAAACACGTATTTTTTTCTTTGAGAAAGAAACTTGACGCTACTAGGGCTGCCGCAGTATCCCCTCCAGAAGGAACTTCTACACGGCACTGGAAGAGGGGGAATTAGTCCTCAGAAAGTTGCCAAGAACGGAACTCAGACTCACAGTATGCAGACACTGATCTGATTCACTGATCTGTTGCCTGTTGTCTTCAGCCATCCACATATTCTTACGCCAGTCTGCTTGTACATGCTTGATTAAGGAGTCGTATGTGCATATGATCAAGTCTGAGGTTGTTCCATCAGTCTAGTTAGATACACGTTACAGAAGTCAGTTTATCCCAGATAATTTGAATACCTCTTTCCTAGAGAGACAGGGCATTGCAAACATTGTTAGAGATCAGTTTGGAGCAGATCTTGTAGAGTATGGGGGGGATTCGGAGATATTTGAACTTCCAAATATTTAAAAATAAAATATAAGGACTCTAAAACGTTGATTGTTCAAATTACCCCAAATGATAATTACTATCTTAATCCTCTAAAAAAATGAAGCACAGCTCATCTTACGGTCATGCATGTGAATTTTAGCAATTTGAAGTAGGAAGCCAGGTTTCAACTTGAATAGCTGAATGTTAAGGAGTCCTTGTCTCAAACCTTAAGTTGTTCTCTGAAGCTTTAGAGAGTTTGTGTTGATTCCCACACTTCCCAAACTAGAGATTTTGGAGGGGAGGGAGAGCACTGACTCTGCAAGGCCTTGTTTTATCAGGTGTCAGAAACCCAAACCTGTAGTAGATAGAACAAGAAGATTCCAGTTAGAAACGAGGAAAAAACCTTCTGCATGGTAATAAAGAAGTGAGGCCCTGGAGTAGGTTGTCTGGGATGGTTAAGGAATTTCCAGATTTGGATGCCTCTGAGGGCAGGTTGACATATGATCGACTATGTGAGTAGGTATAGTGATCCTCAGTTAGTACTTGGGGATTGAGTAGATGGCATCCTTTGTAATTTATATTTCTATTAAAGAATGCTTATGCCTCCTAATTCTGCTGGCTCTGCTACCGTTTTAAGATCTGTAGAGAAGGAGATATGGAGAGAGACAGGCTTCTTCATAGACATCAGGAATGCAGTATAACTAGAAGGCATACTTCACATTCAGGCAGAGAAGTTTTTGAAAGAGAATGAAGTTTGAATGTTTCATATATAAAGTTCTCATTAAGTTCCATAAACTCTTGCAATGCAGGTGGCATGAAAACTCCTGGGGCAGAAGCAGCAACACTTTCCTGGGCTGCTCCCAGCTGGCTTTCAGACCTGGGTATAGAGCAAAAGTTAGTAATTAACAGTATAGCTTGAGGGCAAGATCTGAAATTAAGGAGAGAGATTCAACTTAGATAACTTAAAATGATGAAACTGCAGGAAATGCCACACCTTTCCGTGTAAGACAAGAAAGACCTGTTCTGAAGAAAAGGTGAGCAAGGAACCTATCCTGAAAAATAAAGGGGTGAAGACGGGAAGAACAGCACAGAAAGACTGTGTTCGAAGTGGTTTTAACTCCATTTGAGATGCTTTTCTTGGGTTTCCTATAAGCTAAAAATATTATGTTCCGAGAAGTGCTCCAAACTGCAGTGTGCAATGACATGATAGGGTTTGATCCTTCTTAGATTAAACTGCATGATTTCTAGCTGGTTTTAAGACACTTTTTTTTACCCCCTTAACCTAAAGAAGAGTATACCATCGTGTTCTATGCCATCATACATTTTAAGAAAATTCTTCTATGTAATATTGGGATCTTTTACTGCTTTTTTTTTTTTTTTTGCATATTAAAATTCTTCCCAGAATTCTCTGTTGTTTCTGAATCATTTATATGCTTTGGTTATGGTAACAGGTTTCATAATTTTCTGTTCCGTTTATATTTATTGAAAGTTTTTTTTTTTTTAATTGTGATGGCTGTGATTATTTTGTGATACAAAAATAATTAAATTGTGAAAGAAAATGTAGGATCTTCTAAAAAGCTCAAAAACAACTACCTAAAATTACCAAGGTCTCTTTTTCCTTGCTGGATCTCTTTATATTAACTGTTAGGTGTGTAAAAGGTCAAAGTAAAGTATACTCTTTCTGCAAAGATGGAAATTAGCGTTTTAGTGTGCTTGCATTTTTTTTTTTTTCCCCCTACTTAGTTGATTGTTCAAAAGTGCAAAGCCATTTCAGAGCTCTCAGTGAAGCAAGCTGGGTCCTGGCCACAGTCAGTCCCCTCTGGTTAGGTTGCTTGCACGTCACTTGACAAGTGCCTCAGTTTCCAGATCTATGAAGTGACACTGATAACCAGAGTTAACATATTTCTAAAGCACAATCATGAATATTTTCAAAAATTCTTAAATTATTTGATGAAAAGTGCTGAAGTAGGATAGAATTATGATTTTTTTTTTCTTGTCCATTGAGAAAGATTTACAAATGAAGCATGAAACTTACTTTATCAGAGTAACAGAAATTGGAGTCAGGATCATTAGGAAGAGTGTCATTGTTTCCATTTTATATACATATGTGTGTTTGTCTGCATATATATATCGATAGATAGTAAATGAGGAGAAGCATTGTCTGAAATTTGAAGTGCGAGATTTATTGCCCTGCAGCCTTCTTTTAATTAGCACTTTCCCCGTCATTGTTTGATACTGTAATAAATGCAGTATTAGAATTACTGTGGTCTTTAGCACAGTGGGCCCTCACTTGTGAGTGAGCGCCGTAGGCACAACCACACTACAAATAAAAATAGCAGTAAAGAGAAATGGGCCTTTTGTGTGTATGTTATCTAATCTGTCAACACTATAAATTCTGCTGTTTCTACAGCCAGAAACTGAGCAGACACTGAGGTTTGTTTGTTGGCTCTGTAACGACAGCTGCGTTCTGTGTTTTTTCAGCTTCTTCAAAGCTGCCGAGACTTCAGAGTGTGACAAACCTTCTCTCAGTTTACCTGTTCATTTCCTGATAAAAGAAACAAATAAGAATTGATAAAGGAGAAGATTATTTATTTCCAATGGCTGCAGATTCTAAGAACGCTAGTGAGAAGCCTTTAATAATTAAGGGCAAGAAGTGATACAGAGATGAACGTCACTGCAGATTCTCGTTATAGAGTTGGAAGAAAACCAAACCAGCAAACCAGTTTGAGACTAGCTTTCACCCTCTTGTGAGACTAGTTTAGAAGACAGAAAAGCCAAGTGATGTACAGTTGAGGATTATAAATAATTTTTTTTCTTTTGCAGCAAGAATTGAGTTTTTCCCCAGCCTTCTGGGATGATGTGAGAAATTGGGAGGAAAGGTTTATAGGAAGAGACGAGCAGAATTTTGAGACAGACTATGATGAAGATAGTTGCTTATCATACGAAGCAAGGTAGAAAGTAGAGTGGAGTTGTAGAGGGGACAGTATGGACTTGTATGAAAATAAGGACCAGAAGTTTTTACTTGAACTAAGAGCTTGCATAGGGTGGTGTTCCTGTTTTTATAGGAGGGCACAGTGAAAATTAAGAAAGTAAATAACTCTATTCAGAAAATTTTCTTTTGCTGTGTATTCATGTCAGAAAGCAGGTTTAAATCAGTGGGGAATATGTACTGGACTGTCATGCATATAACCCATGCTTCAGGTGATTTGTATCTGTATGGAAACATTGTTCCTTGCAAGCAAATATCCAGATAATCTGAGAGTTACAGGTGTGAAAATGCAGGCTTATGGCAGCAAGTGAACAGCTGGCCATATACAGGAGGTACTGTTCATGTCCTGCCTTATTTTCTCTGGCCTGCTGACCCAGACAGCATCTGATTCTTGGGCTTTATGAAATATTGCAAGCAGCAGGTTGTGGCTATTAAAGACCAAGCAGCCTGGAAAGAGTTGATTGGAAGAGGAAAGAATGCATGTATAAGAAGGCTACTGGGACGGGAGTGAAAAAGTGATCTGGTGAGGGGCACGTAGAAATAATAAGTGAGGAATAGTTTTGATGTCCGTTGTATTTGCATCAGGAATCAAATTTAGGGGAAGACCCAAGAGTGATAACGTAGAAGAAAATTTACCCTAGACTCCATGTGTGCCCTTTCAACGGAAAGGAAGGAAAATGCCACGAAGAGGGTATGGTCTCAATGAGGAACCTTTAGGATTTTCTCTTATATTCGCTGTACAATACAATTATTCCTTTGTGTATTGCTTGATTAAAATGAGTTAAGGTTTTCTTGTTTGTTTTCAGATAACTTATGGGTCGTGTGTGGGAAAATACAGTAACTAAACCTCTTTAATCTTTTCCTTTTTCTCCTAGGGTATCTTCAACCAGTTCCAATGTAGCAGTGAAAAGGTATTGCCTTCTGATGCCCTGCGCACTGCTCTTGCAAAGACATTTCAGGATGAGCAACGCTTCCAGCTGGGCATCATGGATGATGCTGCTGAGTGTTTTGTGAGTATGATTGAAGGATGGTCTGACAGGCATAGGTGTAAACCCCTACTAGACAATGTTGCCTTCTTTTTTTTCTCCTCTCCTCTCAAATTCCAACAGACTCTGCACATGTGGCCTGTAAAAGTGAGAGATTCCCCCACTTGAAGTGTTCCAGTGGGGAACCAGCGTTTGGTTTGAGAGATGTTTCGAGTGAATTGGAAATAAAAACCCCAGTGTTATCCATTTTTCAGTTAAATATTTGCATACATACTGCTTGCAGTCTCAAGTGTAGCTAGGAATTGTATTAAAAAAGAATCTCCATGCTTTGCAAAATTCTGGTATAGGGTGTGATGCTGAAACCTCACAAGCATTATGTCCTTGGTCAAAGGAAGCAATACAGTTTTCTTTTGTGAAAACACTGAAGGGTAGTCGTTACCAAAAAGACTTTGTCATTACCAGCAAAATTGTTAACAGTTGCAAATTGCTTGCTAGCTTCTATAACCTTCATATAGATAAAGATATAGGTGGAGATTCTTCCCTCCCTTGTTACCTTTTGGATACTCTTGGTGATTGTACTGATAGGCTAGGCACTGCAAGAATGATGCAGGATTCTAGTTTTATGGATAGCCTCAAAGGGGTGAAAGGGCATTTTGTTTGCTAGTTCACTCATAAACTATGGCTAAGGGAGAAGTCAAAATAAATAAATAGACCACATACAACCCCTTCAACCTGTATTTATAAAATCCAAGTACAGACAGCACAATTGTTTGTAAATGGAGATGAGCAACAACAAAAGATTTGGCTCCAGTTATTTCTCTCGCTCTGTTTGTAAACCATCTGACAATTTTATTTAGTCTGATTATCTCATCTGTGTGGTTGGGAGATGGCTTTTAAACAAATGCAGTGTCCTTAGGTTTTCCCTCCTGCTTCCTTACTGTACTAAAATTCTTTCTTGGCATCCATTATGTTCAGATCTTATCCTTACCCCCACTTCCTCCTTTTCCTTTTTCAGTCTGATAAATTTCCTTAACTTAATTGGTAGGTAGTTTTGTCTTGCTGATTCCCCCTCCTGGTAATGATTGTGTCCCTGGTGTGGCCAAGGGTGTTTGTATACTATGTGGATGTTAAGAAAGATGTTAATTCTTTGAACCAAAGTACAAATAGATAGGTTTTACTACTGCAAGGTAAAACTTCTCTCAGGCAAAGCACCGTTCAGAGTGGAGTCTTTTCTATACAAAGAATCTTTTATTTCCTATACCTACCCAATTTGGCAGTTGTACTATAAGAAATCGTATAAATGGGAGAAATACAAGTTTTGCAGTTTCTCTCTGAGACTAAATGGACAGATAATGAGCTTGTGATACCCCAAGCTACCCTGTGTTTGGATTACACCATGACAGAGAAGAGTAGTAGTATGAAGAATAGTATCGTTTATTGTGCGAGTCTAAAATGGAAATAGATCATACCAACAAAGCTGCAAAGTGAAACAAATTGGATCAACCTACATAGCCCCTGTCAGCCCAGTTCTGTGAAATATTTGTAGGCAGCCCAGCCCAGAACAGAGAGGTCTGTATGTAGTAGAGTATGGAACTTCTGGTTTAGTTTTGTTTTTCAGAAAGTTGATCCAAATAGCCCATCTAATACTGCAGTAAGAGTCCCCACAAGCATGATTAGGTTAACCATGTTGGCACAATGACAGTTACAACTGGGAAAAGTTTTCTTTTGAGGTTAAGCTTCAAGGCAGAGATAATTCCATAGCTTTTCACTTAGTTAACCTTTTCAGCCCTAAAGGCAGAGATTTATTTCAAATAGCAGAAGAAGAGCTTAGATTCTGAAGTTCATGGAAAATTGTACTGGGGCAGAGCTATTTCGCCTAATAATTAATCTTGACCTGGTTATTCCAGACCTGAGAACCATCCGGGTATCTCAAGTTGACAGTGAAAACTCTGCTGCTGGAAGAGGCGGCAGTAAACTTCTGGCGCCCTCAGATTTATGTTGGCAACGACGGGAGGAAAGGAGGTCTTAGAACAAGAGCTCCTGGGAACGTGAAAACAGATGGAGTTGTCTGAAATAATATCTAGAAAATGTTTAATGCTTTTTCTTTCTTCCAGACAATGATCTGCTTCTTCGTTTATTAAGTGTCCCCAGCCTCCCTTGCTAGAATGTAGATTATTTACCATATTTTAAATTCCTTGCAGTATATAAAAATTGATTGGGATTACTTTGTGTAGATGAGGAATAATTAGGCAGTTAATTAGGCTAGCTAATGGCCACCCACTGTTTTTAAAACTACAGAGCTGCGCTGCCTATTGCGCTTTGTCAAACCCATTGATATTTGAGAATTGATCAGAACAATTCATGATAGATTCTTCAGCTAAACTGGTAAATCAAATAAATGGTTTGTTGGTGTAGCATTTCAAATCAGAGCGATGGCATTTCTTTGATATAAAATGGCTACCAACTAATTTGTTTCCTAAGCAACTCCAAAGTTTACGAGAGCATTCTATCTCTGTAAAGAACAGTTCTACTACAACATTATTTGTTGCATCTGAGATGCTCTTGTGATTTATACTTAGTTAACTTTTGTCTACACTTCAATTGATTTTAATGCTTTTTCGCTTTTTCTTCTCTCTTGGGACTAGGAAAACCTGTTAATGCGAATTCACTTCCACATTGCAGATGAGACAAAAGAAGATATTTGCACTGCACCACATTGTGTTTCACATCAGAAGTTTGCAATGACCTTGTTTGAACAGGTGAGGTAATAGTATCTGCTTTACACAGATCACCAATTCTCAGTGTCAAATTTTCATTCCTGAGACATATTTTATCATGGTTAAAAAAAAAAAAAAAAAAAAAAAGAAAAGCAGAAGTTGTGCTGTGGAAATACCGGTTTAACCTTGTCAATATATTGCTTTCTCCTTAGTGTGTTTGTACTAGCTGTGGTGCCACCTCTGACCCGCTGCCTTTCATCCAGATGGTACATTACATCTCTACAACCTCACTTTGGTAAGTTGAGATTTTTACAGGGAAGAGAACTTGCCTTATTTATACTGGCATTGTAGTATGAAGATTCAGTGTACAGAGCGTGGTTTGTTTATAGTTGGTGGAGGTTTGGTAACTATGATAGAGAGCATGAGGGTTTAGTGGAGCAGAAGTTACCAGTTTAGCCATGGATCAGTGCACCTAGTTGTTAATGTTTCTGAGACTGTTAACTATGATGGCAAGGACTCGTCCACATTTAAAAAGATCTTAATACCGGATTCAGTGAGTTAAGAAGCAAGATAAAAGAGAAAAAACACAGAATAATTTATACTGCAAGGGACCTTTGGTGGATATCTAATCCATCTCTTGCTCAAAGCAGGGCGAACTTCAGAGCTAGATCAGGTTGCTCGGGACTTTGTCCAGTTGTATTTTGAAAACCTGCAAGGATGGAGATTCTGTCACATCTCTGGTCCGCCTCTTCCGGTGCTTAACTACTCTGTGTGAATTTTTTGTCCTGATATCCAGTCAGAATTTCCCTTCCTGCAGCTTTTGACTGTTGCCTCTTGTCCTTTCTCTTTGCCCCTCTATGAAGAGTCTGATGCCATCTCTCTATAGCCCCCATTATTTAGCTGAAGACAGCAGTTGGGTCTCCCCTGATTTAGCCTGCTTTTTTCCAGATTAAACAAACAAACAATTTCTTCAGCTTTTCCTTGCAAGTCATCTGCTCCAGCCTGCTAATTGTTTTTCATGGTCCTCTATTGGATTTGTTCCAGTTATCCATATCTCTTTTGTACTGGAAAGGAGGTGGAGGGGTGCAAAACTTGTCACAGTATTTTAGATGAGGCCTCATGATTGCTGAGTAGAGGGAAGTGATCGCTTCAAGCTGTGCGTTAAAGTCTGATGTTCGGTTAGCGTTCGTCACTGTGAGCGCACGCTACAGACTTACATTTGACCTCTTGTCCACCAGCTTTCTGGGAAGTTACTCCTTAGACATTCAGTGCCCAGCCAGTACTGCTGTGCTGAGCATACTTTGTTCCAAGTGCAAGACTGTATTTTCCTTTATTGATCTTCACGAGGTTCCCGAGAGCCTATTCCTCCAGCCTGTCACAGTCCTTCTGAATAGCAGCCCTGCCCTCCGGTTTGGTGTCATCAGTAAACTTGATAAGGTTACGTTCTGTTTCATTTTCCAGATTGTTCAAAAAAAAAAAAAATTAAATAGCATCAGCCCCTGAGGAGCACTGCTCATAACAGACTGCTGGTTGTGCTTCGATCCTGTAAGCCTGAAGGTCTAGCTAGACTTTTGTCTGCCTTGTGTTCCTCCTGTCCAGTCCACATCTCACAGTTTGGCCACAAAAATGCTGTAGGACACTGTCAAAAACCTTACTAAAGACAGAGTGATATTTGTCGCGCTTTCCCTGCTCCACAGAGCCAGTCATTTCATGGTAGGAGATAATCAAGTTGCTCAGGCGGTTTGTCCTTGGTAAATCTGTGTTCGCTGCTCCCAGTCACCTTCTTGTCCAGCATCTCGCCAGCCTGCAGTTTCTCGACTCCTCCTTCTTGTCTGTGTTGAAGATGGATGTGATGCTTGCTTTTTCCAGTCATTGGGGGACTCCCCTAGTCACTATGACCTTTCTCTAAAGGAGGCAGCGCACAAAACAATAGCTCTAGCCCTATAATAGTTCTGCTACCTGTATTCTAGAGGAGAGAAGTGTAACTCTGTTTTAGTAGATGGCTGTTCATTTAAAAGCTGCCTAAATCTGATAAAGGCAGAAGTCAGTTGTTCGTTTGTTCTTGAAGTTTTTGTTGAGATGAGAAATTCTCTTCCCTTTTTTGTCCTGGATGAAAAGCATGTAGTAACAGAGCTGAAAAAGGTTGTCTTGGAAACTGCTAGTTGCTCTTATCTTGCAAATCTCTGTCAACAATGGCAACACTTGACCAGTTTATCAAGAGCACTGAAACCCGGGTTGCATTCCCCCTTGTGGCTGCTACCTTTCATCTTGTTCCAGTTTTTCTTTAGGTTACCAGCAGACATTGCATATCAGAGTCTTATTTATTAGAAGAACAGGAAAATAGTGAAAATATCTGATAATTAATCAGTTTTGCTCTGTGTATTTTAAGCTTCACTGTCATAAAATTTAAGTGAAGTTTAAATATTCTTAGTTGATGTGTTTTTTTTGTGTGTGTTTTTATTTTATTTTGTTACTAAATTTTGTTATTAAACTTGCATTTTCTATGCTTTCTCTTTACTGAAGCAATCAAGCTATATGTATGCTGGAGAGACGAGAGAAACCCACTCCAGATATGTTTGGAGAGCTACTACAGAACGCCAGCACTATGGGAGACTTACGAAACTGTCCGGTTAGTATGCTTAGCTTTCTTATAGTGAGGGGAAAAAAAGACAGAAGAGGATTAATTAAAGGTATACATTTATCTCATGAGTATTTTCAAAATTTAGCTCACAATAATTTTAAAAGGTGTCAATAAGATAGTTTTCTTTGGATTTGAATTTTGTAAATCAGTTATTTAATGTAGGAAGGGGAAAAACTGGGTGCTATGAGTGCCTCGCTGATGACTGGACACAAAAGTGGTAAGAACAGGAATGGGTATAGTGATAGGATGAAGGCTCTGGGTGGGACCTCATCTAAAAAAACGCAAAATGGCCGTATTTGGAGGCTGTCTCTTTTTATAGAAAATCTCTGTTTGCTGGTAGTGGTTTTGATTGTTAGGTTTTTTAGAACGATGTTCCCACTATTTACCTAGTTTCTCCAGTAATTATCTTTGCGAAGTAGTCAGTTGAGGGTCATCTGCTTTATCTATAATAATAGCATGTAAAAAGAAGTGCTTGTTTCTGGTAGAATCTTTCCAGTAGTACCGTTCTGTGGCACAGACAGCAGAGCTTTTACAGTAGTCACTGTAACCTCATGTCCAAGATCCATTGTTTTGCCCAGGTAAGCTTCCATTCGACCTTGTTACTACCTTTCAGTTGAAATGAATGAAAGTGTGGACCAAACTGCTGTACTACACCGTATAGTCAAACCATTCCTCAGTGAGGAAGAGAAAAGAACTGCCAATTCTCACTGCCAGAGAATGTCCCAGGAGGTAGGGGTTTGGATGAGGGCTTGTAGGCTACATGGTGAATCTCCAAGAGCTATATCACAGGCAACAATCATCACAGATAATTTGCGGGAGTATTGTTTTGGGATTTCTGAGTCAGGTATGCTGTCCAGAGTATGGAAGATAATGACCAGAAAGCATGGGCTGTGGTCGTTATGAGTGATAAAGTGGCATTTAACCTCTTCGGAACAGTTATTGCATATGTCCAGTTGCTAGTCATGGGGTGCTGCTCTTTAAAAAATATTCCGTTCTGCTATGCAGTAAAAGTCTGACACAGTTCAAGCCAATTAAATCTGTACATCAATTGATGTAATTTCTAATGCAAACACAAATGAGTGATTTTTTTTTTTGTTCTTGTTTTTTAGTCAGAAGAGCTTGATTTCTAAAGCAAGGGTTTGTCTTGTTCCACCTTTTAATTTGAGTATGTTCAGATTCAGGGCCTTCTGTAAGAGGAAGGAGAGTGATGATCAAACTTTCTGTGTATTGGGGAAGAGAGCAGGAAACGGCTGCATAATTGCTGCTTCATGTAAGGGTGGTATTAGAGGCCTCACCAATCCTCAGTGAAGTTGAACGGTGAGCATATGATAGGTACTTCTGGCAGTAATACAGGCTCTTAACAGGAATGGCTTGCGTACCCGTTCCCTGGGGGTCCTGTATGCGTTTCTGTTTTTGGAATATTGGGCTAATAGCGGTCCACTTATCTGAGTAAAGGAAATAAGAAGATACTGGATTTTGTTCAAAAGATTCATGTGACCCTTGCTATTTCATAATCAAAGTATGGGGAAAATTCAATATAAAGACAGTCTTTTTCAAGTTGAACTGCTATTTAACTGTGAAATAATCAGTTAGATAAAATTGCTTGCCAGTCCTCACTGCCTATTTCTTTGAGAGCCTTTTGCTTATTTGGTAAATTTTTCTGTTGAGGCTTAGCTAAAAGTGGCCTAAAAGTCGTGCAAGAGAGGCTTTTTATCAGGATTCTGTATTTCTTCTGTCTTGCAGAAAGTGCTAGTTAGCTAGTTGGAGCAAAGGAGAAGAGAATTTTCAAGTGAGATGGGTTTGTTGTTATGAGGTAATCCACAAGACCGCTTGTACTTTGAATGACGCTTGTACCTTGAAAACATGTGAATATAGGCATCTTAATATTAAAGCCTCACGTCTGCATTTAAACATCACATTCCTGTAGCTGTAAAAATGTTTTTGTCTTTTTTTTTTTTTTTTCCACTGCCTTATGGTCAACAAACTCAAGCTTCTCCCTCTGCCTCTGCCTCTGCCTCTGCCTCTGCCTCTCCCTCTCCCTCTCCCTCTCCCTCTCCCTCTATCTCTTTTCCCCCCCTCTTTTAGGTTATTGGTCTTGACATTCTGATTAATTTTATAGATTGTTGCTGGGGGGAAAAGTCCTTTATGATCTCTTCCCAGGTTTCAGTGTCAGGAATGCACCAACCTCAACCTTCTCCCTCTCCCTCTCCCTCTCCCTCTCCCTCTCCCTCTCCCTCTCCCTCTCCTTCTATCTCTTTTCCCCCCCTCTTTTAGGTTATTGGTCTTGACATTCTGATTAATTTTATAGATTGTTGCTGGGGGGAAAAGTCCTTTATGATCTCTTCCCAGGTTTCAGTGTCAGGAATGATTAGATCCAATTGTGAAACTAGTCTCTGTAGAGATGAGAGGCTATTCTAGAAAAACCAGTTTCACACTGAGAATCTTTTTGCAGAGGTGCATATGTGCCCTGCCACAGGGGGTGAGTGAGTGTTCTACAGGGACTTTGGCATAGTTGTCCTAACAGAAAAAAAAAAAAAAAATTACAGTGATAATCTCTTGACTTGGTGAATTTTTTCCATGACACTTTAAAGATGCCCTCCATCCCAGCATGTAATGGGTTGGAAGGACCACTGTAAGTCTGTTAGCCTCACAAGCAAGCTTATCTCTGAAAAGTACTTTGCCTGGAGAGCGAGGGAAACTGGCCAGTCAGTAAGCATTGGTGCTTATTTAAACAATTAAAAATAATTAAAAAAAAAAAAAAGTGGGGAGGAAAGAAATGGGAAATCAAGAACTGATATGGGGTAGGGAAGCAATTCTTTTTCTCCTGATCGTTTAGCTATTGCTCCTCAGATCTGTTTGAATACCGTCGTAACCGGGCTCCTATCTCCAAAAGCCATCCTGTCTAAATGAGATAATCGAGGTACCTTGTAGAGCAACCACCCAGCTTTCAGAGCAGGCAGCATCTTGAAGTATTTTCTGACACAACCATTTAAAGCATCAATCACTGTAAACATCATTTTTAATCACAGATTCTGATCAAAAGAAAGTGAGCTTTCTCTCTAATTTGTAAGAATGTCTTTAGGATATTCATGTATGTTTGTTTATAAGCCTCTTTTGTTGCTATTCCTTTTAATCATCATCAGTAGCATGAAGAAGAATCCACAGTGTTCACTTTAAAGCTCGTGAATGCCAGGCACCCTTGGTATCACTCCTCGTCTGGCGTAAGGCTGCTCTCCTGACACTGAGTATGTTGCATCTGCTGCATTATGTCACCTTCTCTTTGGAAACAGTACTTTTGAAATATGGGCCAGCCTTGAACTAACATCAAAATAAATGGAAAACAAATATGTTCAATGTTTTGTTTTATTTAAATCTTCAGAGTAACTGTGGGGAAAAGATCCGTATTCGTCGTGTGCTGATGAACTCCCCACAGATTATCACCATTGGCTTGGTTTGGGACTCAGACCACTCTGATCTCGCTGAGGATGTTATTCACAGCCTGGGCACTTGCCTTAAACTGGGAGATGTGAGTCTGTCTGTCTCTTTCTTTCTTTCTTTCAGCTGTGAAAGTATTGATACAATTGGATATTATCAATTTGCTGAAAGTGTAAGGTGCTTGAAATCAAAAATGACTCCAGAAAACAAAGTTTCTATCTGCATCCAAAAATATTTGCAAGTGCAAGGGAATTTTGGATTGCAGTTTGTACTATTTCTATTAAAATACTTATATTTCTATTATTATTTTGAAGAACAAGAATGTGTTTTCATTTCTTCTGAAGACAGAAAATGTAGTTTTGTTTTGGTTTTTAACTTGTTTAAATCCTCCCTTTGTTTGAAGATATGGTCGTAACACTTAGTAGTTATAAATAACTGAGCAGTCTCTGAGAGGTGGTGGCTGGCATTGTAGAACTGAATGATAGGTTAAATTTAATAGTCTTTGGGTTCCAGAGGTCTGTCTCCTGGAGAGTTCACTCATTCTGCATTAGCTGAATTCTGAGGGCTAGATTATTGGCATACCATGTTGCGACTGTTTTATTATTGTAACACTGAGTTATTATATTTCAAAAAAAAAAAAAACAACTATGCACTAGTGCATAGTGAAATGAAATCAGTGCAAGCTAATGGAAACATGGCTACAAAACAGAACGTAATCCTTATATAGTAAAGCAGTAATGCACTAAAATATGAGTGTATTTTAAAATAAAACATGGTCAATTAAAAAGAAAATAATGTCTCTGTATGCCAAGTTCTGTGGACTTTCTTGTGTCTTCAGTTCATTTTTTTAATGTGGCTGTTGTCTTAAATTTATCTTTGCTAAAATCAGAATGAATGTCTGCTGTTTGCTGTATCAGAACTGTGTTGTTTCTGCAAAGCAAAGAGGAATGAAGAATAGTTTTAAATCATATTTGATATAATTGGCAAGCGTAACACAGAGAATAGGTAGGGAAGTTCTTGCAGCGCGAAATGCTGCTTCTAAAATTTTCAGAGTATAACCATGCTTCAGATTCTAAAAAGGGATCATGTCATTGTTGTAAATGTCTTCCTTAAAAGACAGCCACAGTCTCCAAGACTGACTCTGTTCTTGGGCATCTGGTGAGTTGGCACAAAACTGTTCCTGGTCTATGTCACTGGTTTTGCTTTAACATTGGTTAATTAAGTATTTATTACCTTGCGCTCTCTGCCTCTTGAAGTAAGACACCTGACCCATTTTACAGTCTTCTGAGGTCTTCAAGAACGAAGCAGCGTGTAAAATGCTGGGCATTTTATTAATTTCTTCTTTAATTTTTCTTATCTTTCATCTTGAAGCTCTTTTTCAGGGTAACAGATGACAGAGCAAAGCACTCAGAGCTGTATTTGGTGGGAATGATCTGTTACTACGGTAAACACTATTCTACCTTCTTCTTCCAAACTAAAATCCGCAAGTGGATGTACTTTGATGATGCTCATGTCAAAGAGGTGAGAAAATAATGTTTAAAAAAATAATCTATTAGGAACTTGTTGACTACTTGTGTGGATCCGTACTGTTTTCTGCAGATTTCCAGAAATACTGTGTATTTGCCCACTCAAAATTCATAACTCTGCTCCTTTTTCTGAGGAAAGTAAAGCATTCTGGAAGAAGCATACCAGAAATCTCAGGAGCTCTCTCCTTAGTTCTCTTCTCTTAGCTGCCAGGCTTGCCTTTATGCTGTTGTTTGAAACCCTGCTTTATG